CCCCGCTTTCAGGGGAGGGTAAAGACAGGCCGCGAAGGGTTGCACCTCGCTGGCCCCGGGGGGCCCCCACCCAAAAAAAAAAAAAAAAAAAAAAAAAGCAGCAAATGTTCTTCAGGCCTTCAAGCCACTGGGTTGTGACTCAGCAGTAGCACCGGCACTAACAAATGTCACTGGCACTAGCAGAAGTCTACTGGAGCTGCTTCCAGTCACCAAAAGAACAAAGTCAGGTTCCAGTTTTATTCCAACTGTTTTATTCCAACTTGAGTAGACAGTGCTGAAATATAATTTTGTTCTTTAGGGATATTTTTTGCAGTGTTACAGACTTCAAATTTCATAAAAATGACTGGGACTCCTATAAAATGTCATAGACCAATGATCAGGGCTATTTTTGGTATAGAATTCCCACTTTCTTCCTACTCTACCCCAATTCTGATGGGGCTTGGCAAACACACAAATCCAAAACGGATGCTGTAATACATGCTTGGTGAGAATAAAAGCCCCAGTTACATTCTAGAAACATGAAAGCATACGTACCCTTACATGCACAAACATGTAGACATGAATGGAATTATGCAAATTATTAAGGAGCTATATAACAGACAAATAGAACCAAAAAATTTCAGCACAAGAAAGGATTTTATAGAGAATTTAAGTCAGAGATCCATTTCTCTGAAGAAGAAGTTAAGGAATAAAAAGGTTAAATAATTAATAATGAATTATAATAATAGTAATAGTTAACATTTTTAAAGCACTTGCTATGTCCTCAGCACTGTGTACACCCTTTACAGGGTGTTTTAAATGACTTTTTCAAGGTTGCATAGTTATTTAGCCATACACCCAGGACTAGAACCTAGGATTCTCATTTCCTATTTTGGAGCTCAAAAGAAAAATGGGACTGTATTGCATACCATCCTTGGCCCAGGAAAACAAAACAATCCAAAACCAACCTGGGTACTCAATGGGCAGCAAGCCCAATGGACAAGAACGGGTTACTACTAGGCCACCAAGCACCCCATTTCTGATGGTGAGTGCATTTGAAATGACCACAAGCAGAGAACACATCTGAACTAAAGAACTGAAGCTCAGCCAAGCAAACAAAGAGGAGCAGCAAAAAGATCCATATGAGCAACACACAAGCTTCCAGAGCAGAGCAATTAGGCCACACATCATGATGGGCTCTGCATAAAACAGCACTTCTACCATGTCTCAACTCACCACACAAATAGTAACACTGTCTGCAGCAGTAGCTTGGGGTAAGAAAGACAAGAGATAAACATATTATATGACCATCAGAGGAAAGTCACTGTGAATGTTTTTATGCTACAGACACTGATGTAAAATTAAGTTATTACTTACTCCAAGATTTTTCCTAGTTGATCGACATCTGAACTTCCACGAAAAAGAGGCCTAAAAGAATAAAGATGTATTTTAAACAAGAAATTTTCTTAGGTTACATTTCAATCATATTTGTCATTGTCATCGTTTAACAGCAAGCAAAATATTCTTCGTGAGTGAGAAATAAGTAAAGAATTAAGACATCTTCCTTTGGTAAGTGAAGGTTTTCCTAGCATTTCACCTATGATAAGGATCTCTCATGAATACTTGGTGGTAACCTGATTCCCATGTTTTGCAGTCATGGGTATCCTATTTGCAGTCATCATAACAACAGTTACCATTATATTCAGACCCAGGTTTCAAAGTTATACTTAATTTAGTGATATGGTGGAGCATATCACTGTCCTAGTCTCAAACCATAGGTAGGTGGCCTTCTCAGCGCACCCTTTCCACACCATTCTGCTATCAGAGCACTGCCTCATGGGTCTCTCTCCTTCCATGTGTTCTGAATGCTGCAGTGAGCCACCTCTGAGTCTGTCTTTCTGATTATACCACTTTTCTTTCTCTCAACATTATGGCACTAACCTTTACAAGTTTGAAATCCTAACTCTGGGCTTCAGAGGCGATAGTGTTCTCTTCTGAACACACAGCCCTTCTGGTCTACACTGAGCATTTGACTGGCAATTAAATAAACTCACTTTGTGACATTTCCGGCATTTTCCCAAGTAGACCAAGTAGGGTGGAGACTTGTCTAGGTTTCCCCTTAACCCTTGCCCTGGTGCTCTACCCAAATAGATGCAGTTATTAAATATTTTGTTTGATTTTGTATACACCTATGGTCTACAAGTAAATGTTCTCTAACTCCTTACTCAAAGAATGACATACATAGGTATTTTTCAACACTCATGTGTTTTAAAAAATATTTGTAGCCTATTATTAGTGACCATATTTACTTTTATATCGTATATCAATTTTTAGAGCTTTACACTTGACCTTTTAAATATTCTCTATGCACAATAAATGTACTCAAGATACAGGTCATATATGAATAATCCTGCAGAGAGTCAGAACATTTCAGTGGTTAGAAGATACCTTAAAATTCCTCAATTATACTTTCTTTTCATGTTATTATTCCTGAAAATAATTATTTCCAAATGCAGTGAAAAAATTCATTTATGGCAATGTTATGGGCTAAATCGTGTCCCCCCAAAATTATATGTTGAGGCCCAAATCCCAGGATCTCAGAATTTGATTGTACTTGGAGACAGGGCCTTTAAAGAGGTGATTACATTAAAATAAGGCCATTTGGACACACGAGACATCTGGGGCATACACAAACATAAAGAAAGGACCATGAGAGAACACAGTGAGAAGGCAAGCCAAGGAGAGAGGCCTCAGAAGAAACCAAACCTGCTGACACCTTGGTCTCGCAATTCCAGCCTCCAGAACTGTGCAAAATCAATGTCTGTTGTTTAAGACATCTAGTCTGGTGTTATATTGTAGCAGCCCTAGCAAACTAATACAGGCAACTTGCATATCACTAATGCAGCCAAATTCATAAAGAATCATGCATTTGGGTTCTAAAAGACATGAGACAGGTCTTAAAAAATAGCAAGGTGAGAAGTGAAAGTTTTTTCCAAAACTTCAAAAAAAAAGACAAAACATGGAATCTTAATAGCTGTTATTAAGCATGAACGTTAAATATGGCACGGTGACATGTGCTCCCCAAATATGATCTCATTTAATTCTCACAAAAATTCTAGGAGAAATGTCGTATTATTATCATCCTTATTTTCAGATGAGGAAACTGAGGATTGGAGATGTTACATGACTTAATGAAGGGCACAATATTTTTTTCCCTCTTTTCTTTCTTTTCAGTTAACAGGTTGATTTTTCAGAATGTTTGTTGACTGGGGAAAGGGCACAGACTTTGGTGATGAATTATCCTGGGAATAAATCCCTATTCAGCCATTTCTCCCTGAATGACTTTAGGAAAGGAGCTTAACCTCTTTGAAACTTAGTTGCCTCATTTGTTAAATGGAGATGATATCTTCTAGGATCAATGAAGTGAGATTATGAATACATATCTTCTACTAGAATGCCCAGCTTATAGTAGATCTACACTAAGTGGTAACTAAACACACACACACACACACACACACACACACACACACACTCATTCACTCACTCACACATGGTGAGATGTGTCTCTTGTTCCTAGCCAATATTATACACAGATGATAATATAAAGTATTTCATACAGTGAACAAAAAAGGAAGGGGCCATTTCTCACCATGTGGTGAGCTCTCAAGTCATTATTTTAGCCTAACAGTCTTTCCTCTGAGGTCCTTATATATTCCTTATGACTTTATCAAGAAAAGAAAGAATATTCTAAAGGATGAATGCCAAAATTTCCAATAAGGATTAATTAATTCTGAAATGGTGATAATTTCATCTTCTGTATGTAGTTTTGCAGGGGTGGGTGAATGGGGGTGAGAAACAAAGCTCACTCACCATGTCTTAAAATCTGTTATCAGTGAGGTGAATTTTCTCAGGTCAAATTACAAAAGCGACCAAGCTTCAGACTATATGCCTTTTTAAACAAACAACTAAAAGAACATATAAATATCATTCATAATCTCAAATGAACAGTGGAAAATAACATTTAGAAGTATGATATGTTTTCTAGCAGATGAGAAGTGTATACTGATATGTCTGTTATAGAAAGGAAATGATTCATGCATAATGGAAGATGAAAGATTTCATTCATTCAGTTATAATACTTTTGTTGTACTAAAAAGACAAGGAAGTCATGGGTTACCCCATAGAACACCTTTGTAACCTGCATTTGACCTGCAGCTATGCTTTAGTTGCTATCTTTCTTGATTAGTAGAGGAATTTTCCATATTCATAAAGTGACCTTTCAAAAAATACTATCCAGGGGAACATCTACTATTTTATACTAGCTCCCATGTTTTGTTCTAGAGTTGTTATCTGTTAAGTTAAAAAAGTTAACTTACTACCTGACAATTACCATCTATTCAAATAACCAGAATAAGCAGAAAATTAATTCATTGATTTACTTAGTAAACACTAATTGAGTGATCACCCATTAAGCACATAGGGCTGCAATCAGTGCTGGAAAATACTAAAAAATATTTATATATTAAATAAAATTATATTTAAAATTATGTTAGATAATATCTGGCCTCTCTATATAAAGTATATAACATACATATATAACAGGAATTTTAATTATATTATAAATTTATACTTATTTGTACATTTAAACACACACTACCATAATGATCCTTACTCCCACGAAAGACAAGGTATACAAATGCAGGATCATTAAACAGAAGTTTATGGGCCGGTCCCATGGTGCACTCGGGAGAGTGCGGTGCTGGGAGCGCAGTGACGCTCCCGCCGCGAGTTCGGATCCTATATAGGAGTGGCCGGTGCGCTCACTGGCTGAGCATGGTGCGGACGACACCAAGCCAAGGGTTGCAATTCCCTTACCAGTCATGAAAAAGACAAAAAAAAAAAAAAAAGAAGTTTATCTCATTTTACAGAAGTCCAGGGTAATCATTTCATCTTTACTAGAATGTTAGGAGGTGGTCTGATACAGATGAGAAGTAAAGTAACTTATCTGAGGAAACACAGCTGATTAAGTGGCTAAGCTGATCTGTCTGACTTCAATGGACAACAGAATAGAAGCAACGTTTTAAAAACATACTTTGGCAGGGGTTTACTGAATCAATCAGAGGGGATGGAGACTGAGCCAGGGAGGCCGACTGGGAGGTCAGTGCACAAGGGAGACAACAAGGGCCTACACTAGGTGGGACGAGGAAACGGGAAGGGATGCAAAGAATTTAAGGGAAGGTGATCAAGACTTGGTGAAAGACTGAACATGACTTGGAAGGAAAAGCATAATTTTAACTTTGTATAATTAGTAAAGCCAGGCAGAATGAGATACATGGGAGGATGGGAGACAGAGAGGAGATTGGAAGATAATTAATTTAGTTTTAAACTAAAGTGGGGCTTTTGGGAGGTAATTAGGTCATGAATGGGATTAGTGCCCTTATAAAAGAAACCCCAGAGGGCTCCCTTGCCCCTTTTGCCATGTGAGGCACAGCAAGAACACAGCTGTCTCAGAACAAAGAAATGGGCCCTCATCAGACACCACAACTGATCTGAATTCCCAGCCTCCAGAACTGTGGGGAATAAATTTTTGTTGTTTATAAGCTACCCAATTTATGGTATTTTCTTATAGCAGCCTGAGGTGATAAAGATAGACTGCTAATGGGTACAGGGCTTTCTTTTGGGGGTGATAAAACCATTCTAAAATTGATTGTGATGATGCTGGCATGACTCTGGATATACTGAACTAAAAGCCATTGAGCCGTACTATTTATATTGGTGAATTGTATGGTATCTGAATTACAGCTTGATAAAACTGTTAAAAAAAGGTAGTTAAATTATACTTCTAAGCACACATTACAGATTCAGACGGACAGTAAAAAAAACTGCTAAGAAAACCGCTTTAGGCCTAAATACATGAAGGGCTTAAGAACATGGTATTAATGTACAGTGACACACATTTATTTGACCATATATTCAATGAAGTACCCATCTGGAAACAGGTGCTCTGCAAGTTCTGAATAACCTATTAATATGGTCTGAATTTCCCCAAACACCTGACTTATCAGATTAGAATTAAATAAAAAAACCACAAAATGTCTATGGATGAGAAAAAGGTACTCATAAAACTATTATCTTATGCTTTACTCTGGGTGGTGAGATTATGAGTGATTTGTTTTCTGCATTTTTTCTACTTTTCCATACACAGCATTTTATGGGCACTAATTACTTTTAAAATCAGAAGGGAAAAAAAACCAACAACACTGCCACTTGCCATATACTGCATGTTTGTGATCTGTTTACTTCACCTCTTCATTCCCTACACCGATACTAACCCACTTCTATTACGCATTAACTTGTTGATCTCTACACTCAGACTGAAAGCTCTCTGTAGACAGGGCCAACCGTTACTTGCTTTTGTACCCAGAGCA